GTTGTCGCCCTGTTGATGACGTCAGCAACGCGGTTTAGTCGGGCGCGGTTTAGTCAAGCGCACTTTAGTTTAGCGCGGTTTTGTGGGGGAACCCTAAGATGTATGTGCGTGCTGCCAGTTGGACCGGGATCCGGAACCCACCACTAATGGACAGATGGACAGGTGTTCATGGACAAGCTTCCATACCTCTTCAGGTCTTGACTAAATCTGTCCCACTGCCATTCTAAGATAAATCTTCTCTCTTCTCTTCCCCAAAGGGTGTTGCTTTCAGTGTCACGAGTTTATGTTTCCACTTTTCCTGTTCTAGGAAACAATTGAGCAGGAAGAGATGTATGATCTTGTCCCCACACAGCAGGAACCACATCTGTTCCTTGGCCATATTTCTGGGACGGCTGCTGAGCCCACAGTAGCCCCAAGAGTGTTAGCAGCCCATCGGGCCGTTGAATGATTTCTCCACCCACACAAACCGTGCCACCTCTCTGCCCCCCAGCCGAGACAGGCACATGGCATCAGTCAGCTTTTGAGAATAGAATCTGTATTCAGCTGTTTGATCTTGCTTGGGAAGAAACAAAGCTTCTCATATGCCTGGTAGAGGGCTCAGCTCTTGCCCTGGTTCCCAGTTGGATAACGTATGCTGCTTTGCTAACTTTCTGCTTCGTTTTGCCTCCTCAAATCCAAAAGCAAGACTCCCCCTCCCTGAAATTGCTCAGCGCATCTCCATCTCAAAGCTAGGATCAGGAGACATAGAACATCCCTGCCTCTGAAACATGAGCTAACCCAGCTTTTCTCTTTCATATGAACCACGCTGTAAACATTTTTTTTTTTTTGTGCTGAAAGCACAATTTGATGCACCAATGAATAAGTGGGCCAGGAAGAGTCTAATCTAGGCAGCCTGACATTAGATAATGAGAGCTCTCCTCCTTTCATCCTTCACCTTCCACCCTGCCCAAGGGAGCGAACCAATTTCAAGCAGGAGCAACAGCATCGGGAGCGGCTAGCATCCTTCTGGAAAAGAGGAACATTGTTGTGTGTGCCGCAGGAACTGGGTTCTTATTCCAGGAATACGTACTGTTGAATTCAAGTGTTGAATAGATATTGTGTTGCCGGTTGCCAACGCCTGTTTAAACAGGACATGAGTTTGAGAGATAAAATGGCTTCACACAATAGAAGTAATAATTGTATTTATTGTGCACTTAAAACAACATTGGATGAAGCAACAATTCATACCACGATATACTGTTCTTATTGTTGAGAGCTGTTTTATTCTCTGAAGAGGCAGCTGAAGCTCTAAACGCTTCCTAACATCCATTCGGGTTTTTCCCCCTTAAGTGATAGTCTATGTAATAAAACTGGCATCATTTGGGGATTATCTGCAGAGTTTGTTTCATTTGTAGCTTAATCAACTCACGCTGTAGTCGTTCAAACGAATAAGTATTTTTTTAATGCAAATTAGGAGTCAAAGATTGATTTTTTTCATAATATCTTTTGTTTATAACATTCCAGATTACTTGAACTAGCATCAAGATTTTCAAATACTTATAGCAATATACAAAACTTGGACAGAACTTGGACAGGGCATGCGGCGAAAAGGGGATTGCTAATCCACTCGACCCTTGCTGGCTAATTCAAAGCAGCCATTGAGATCTTCAAGAGAGGCTCTTCTTAAGATGCTGTACCTGTCTATTTGGTCCCACAGAAAACATCCAAAACATTTGGAACAGAGGTGGGTTCCTACCAGTTCGCACCTATTCGGTAGAACCGGTTCGTCGAATCTACCGAACCGGTTAGAAGAGGTTCCACCAGTGGACCCGGAAAGCAGGCCACACCTACAGAAGAGGTTCCAAAAGTTTTTGAAACCCACCACTGGTCCTTGGATAGGATTATTCTACACTATCATGCTCCTATTTATAAAACTCAGTGCCTCTGTGAAAGGTAAGGATGACTACTGCGTTTGTGGTGCAATCAGAACATTGCGTGTGTTGAAGTTGTTTTAACGCAAACCAAAGATGCCTTTTAAAAAAGAAATGTTTACATCATATTCTTTATGCCTGCCAGTGCTGTGTGTCAGGTAATTTAAGGTGGTTCTGACAAGTGTCGTCGGCATCTTCATATCCGG